CTGCAATAAGTCAAGGAAGTGTTTATAATGTGTAGAATAATTGCTTAAAAATACAAAAGTGTTTAACAGAAAGCTAACAGGAGATAAAATGGAATAATAAAAAATGGATTAATCAAAAAGAGAAGAAGAGAAAAGAACAGATAGAATAAATAGAAAACCAATAACAGGAAGGTGTTCTTAAATATCAGTGATTGATTACATGTAAATGGACTTCGTCCTCCAATTAAAAGCCAAAAATTTTTGGAGTAGTTTCAGAAAAAGACCCAACTGTATATAGTTTGCATAAGACATATATTCATAGAAGGATATGAGGAGAAAAGAAAAGGTATACTATGCAAACACTAACTAAAGCAAGTCTGATATATTAATATCAAGGTAGACTTTAAGGCAAGAAGTATTATAAGTGATAAAGGGAGCCTTTTATGATAAAAGTGTTAATTCAATAGGAAGACAACTGTTCTAAATTTATGTTCCTAATAACATAACTTCAAAATATACAAAGCTAAAATTGACAGGACATAAAGGAGAAATAGACAAATCAACATCATAGTTGCAGAATTTAACAACCTTCTTTTAACCACTAATATAACAAGCAGATTTTTAAAAACCAGAAGGTTATAGAATATTTAAATAATACTATTAACCAACTGGACCTATTGCTATTTATAGAACATTATTCCCAACAACTGCAGAATGCACATTCTTTTCAAGTGTACCTGGAACTTTTACCAGAATAGAACATGTGCTGGGCCAAAAAGCAAGTCTCGACAAATTTCAAATGATTGAAATCACACAATATATGTTCCACAGTGGAATTAAATTAGAAATAGTTTAATAGTTTAATGGGTCAAAGAAGTACAACAAAAATTAGAAAATATTTTGAATTGAATCAGTATCAAAACTTATGAGACACAGTTAAAGTAATGCGTAGAGAGAACTGTATAGCTTTAAATGCATATGCTTAGAGTAAACAAAAAATTTTTAAAAAATTCATATGCTTAGAAAGCAAGGTTGAAAATCAGTGATCTAATCTTCCATCTCAAAAAGCTAGAAAAAGAAGGGCAAATTAAATTCAAATAAACTGAAAGGAAGGAAATAATAAAGAAAGAAGACATAAAATAGAGAAAAATAAAGTCAAAAGTTGTTTCTTTGAAAAGATTAGTAAAATTGATAAACTCCTACTAAGAAAAAAGAGAAAGCTCAAATTATCAATATAGGAATAAAAAGGAAACATTACTAGAGATCCAGGAAATATCTCAAGGATAAGAAAATATCGTCAACAACTTTGTGTCAATACATTTGACAGCTTATATGAAATGGACAAATTCCTTGAAAAATACACCTTACCAAAGTGACACAAAAAGAAGTAAAAATTCTGAATAGTGCTGTATCTTTTAAAAGCATTAAATCCACAATTAGAAATCTCCCCACCTCTAATAGCAATCTTCAACTGAATTAGGGCTCAGTATTAGGTCTTTGAATGGTTTTAGGAAATTTGAAACTTCACGGAGGCTGATAAGTTCTACACTCAGTCCACTTTCCATGTAGTTTCCCTCAGATTGTTGCCATTTATTTACTTTACATCTGTTGTTGGAGTTTGAGGGGACCAATTAATTATACCACATTTTTCTTTCTCCTACTTTGAGAAGTAGACATAACTCAGATTAGAATAAAAGTGTCAACTTCATCTATGGGGAAATTGGGTAAAAGAGTTTAGATCTGCATTTAGTCTTCCTGCCCCTTCAAATTGGATTGACTTAACTTGCACTGATGAATTTACTGTGTGGTTGAGAAGAGAATGTATGTGGGTTTGGGCAAGCAAGTTCTAAGAGAGGGAGACACTGGTGACATGTGTGGCCAGCCTTTTGCCCTGTCTTATAGAACAGTAAGGTAGAGAGAAAGAGAAAGAATGCTGTTTTGTCACCTACCAGCCTGGGTGAAGCCCTATTCTTAGGCTCTCTTTTTCCAAGGAGTTCTACCTACCCAGTTCAGATGGAACCCACAGTTTCACTGCTGACCTACTTCTGGTTCCTCATGTCATCTGGACCGCCTGCTCTATTTTGAACAAGTTTTTGTAACTTTGATCTTTTCCCAGAACTCTTCTTCCCTCTCCTCCCTAGAAATTTAAACCTGATTTTTGTAGACAGTGCCATTTTGTTCACAGCCATCTCAAGAAAAGTATTGAATTTTTTTAACTCTGGATTTTAAAGGAGGGTTGATGTGTTCTTTTGCTCTTCACTGTCAGTTCAGTGATCATTGTGCCACCTTTTTTCATCAGTTCCTTCTTTTCTAAATCCTATGCTGTCATCTCCCCTTTTCAATTCTTGTTATTGATTAACTTCTAGAACACTGCTGTAACTTCCTCAATCGTGTCAGTATCAGACTGTCTTCTTTGCCCCACACTATGCGATTATAATCTGTTTCTCCTAATTTATGTTTTTGAGTTTCTGATACTCAGAACTCAGTGTTTTTTAACTTGCTCAGTTCTATTAACCAGAATCATTCCAAGATCTCAAATACTGAAAGCCACCTCTCTTTTCCTTTCTCCTCTTCTATGGCAGTTTTTTTCTATTCATATGCTGTCTCTTCGTTTCTCTTTCCTTGCCTCCCTCCTTCAACCTCACTATCTGAATAGATGCCCTTGCCATTGGACCTTAACTCCCTCAACTTTACCCCCTTACACACAAATTTTTTATTTATATCTGTCACTCATCCTTTCCTCCATTTCTAAACATAGAGAAAGAACCTTTTCTCCTCTTTAACATGGCTAACTCTACCAGAGTTCTTGTTCCCATCTTGTCTTGAGTTTGCTCCATTATTTATCACTCACTCTCTCTGTCTTCCTTTTACTAGCATTAAAAATGAAAAAATAACAAAAAATCTTGTTGAAGATTCAGCTTCGCTTTTATACTATGCCAGTCTTCTTAAAAAAAGTAAAATTTACTAGTTAATTCCACTTCTTCTCCTTTTTCTTTAATCCCCCAATTGCTGGAAGTTTTTGTTCTCTTTTATTGCCTTCCTGAAATTTCTTTCTAAGGTCACCGATGACTCTTAAGTTCTTAGTCCTCTCTTTGCCCTGAACAGGCAGAACAGGGTGCTCCCTTCTTTTGTTCCTTGACTTCATTGATGTAGAAAGCCCCCTTCTCAAATAAATAAACCTTCTAGGAAATAAGCAAACTGTTCTGTTGACTTGCTGCAGCAAGACAGACCACACAGATGATTCTGACATGGTGCGTCCTTTGACGAAATGAGTTTAGCGTTTTTATTGAGTGTAGGTTGGGCTCTGAAGTTCTAGGGTAAGATACCAGAAGTGAGGTGAGTCTTTGGATTGGTTGATTTCTTTAAGTAGTGGTTGATGCAAACAACGCATGATTGTGATTGAAAAGAAAGGTCGGCTGAGGCCCAAGACATTCTGCATTTGTAACTGTGTAACTGAATGATGGTAATTGTTCCAGTTCCCTGACTTGCGTAACTGATGGGGTGGTTATTTTGGTTCTCATTTTCAAGCACACCTTCAGTGAATTTTTAAATTTTTACTTCCATTGCATTTGCCCTGGTTTCTTCTTATCTTGACTATTGCAGTAACAAAACAGGTCTCACTGCCTTCTGAATCTTCTCACAGTAACTCATACTCCAAAACCTGAGTCATCGTTCTAAAATACAGATTGGAAAGGTTTTCTAATGAAAATCATTGATGTCTCCTTTTATGTATAAAATAAAACCCCATATACTGAATGTAGTATTCACCCCGTTTTACAATATGACCTCAACCCCATATTCCATTCCTTATCTGTCGGTCTGTCCGTCTCCTGCTTCCTCTTCTCCTCCCCGCCTCCCTCCTGCTCTCCTCGTTTCCTGCTTAATCTATTCACTTCCTTGTCCCCAAACTGTCCTCTTGTTATAGAAGTGTACTGACTGGTTCTGAGCTTGCACTGTACATTGTGGCCTCTATGCCTAAAATAAAGTAATTTTTGTTTCTTCCTGGAATGTTATTTGTTTCTAAACCTTACCTATATCTGATTGTTAAAAGTCTTATCTCTTAAAACTCTATTTAAATTTCACCTTTACAGAGTAGGTTAGTTTGCTAGGACTGCATTGCAAAATACCACAAACTGCGGGGCTTAAACAGCAGAAATTTATTTGCTCACAGGTTTGGAAGCTAGCAGTCGAAGAACAAGGTGTCGACAGGTTTGATTTCTTCTGAGACTTCTCTCCTGGGCTTGCAGATGTCCACCTTCTTGTATTCTCACTTTCCACTGTGTCTTTCTACTGTGTGGCACATCCGTGGTGTCTCTCTGTGTGTCCTAATCTCTTCTTATTAGAACATCAGTCATATTGAATTAGGGCCCACCCTAATGGCCTTGTTTTCACTTAATCACCTCTTTAAGGACCTTATCTCCAAATACAGTCATAGTCTAAGTTACTGGGGTTAGGGCTTCAACACATGAATTTTGGGAGAGACATAATTCAGTCCGTAACACAGAGCCTTCCCACATTTTCCTTGTAGTAATTAACCCTCTCTAAGATCCCATAGCACCTTGTACCACTTATTATATCTGCACTGATATGGAGTTATTCTTGTTTGTCTGTCTCCTCTGGGGTTTCTAGGTTTCTTGAGTGTAGGAACTCTCTCTTTTTCAACTTCACCGCTCCCTGCTGTCCACGATATGATAGTGAATAGGGCTCGATTGTTGGCTAAATTTTAAATAATTCAGTATAAGTCAGGCTTAAATATCTAATAATATATTCTCCAGAATTTTAGGAGATTGACATAAAAATATATGAAGGGGATGTATTATATCTCCTATTTTAGAAGTCTTTGAGCATGGCCTGAGATTTTTATCTTAGGTTCTTAAATTATACATAGTACAAGTAATGTCAATTTTATAGGACTTCATATAACTCTTTTATGGTCTTTTAAGGTATAATCATCTAATTGGCTTCTATAAGCTACCTATTAATTCTTTCAATTGTAGTATTTCCATTACATTTGTTTTCAGATAAAGATGAATGCTATGTCTCATCCAATACTGAAAATTTGAATTTTAGAAGACATTTGCTAAGTCAAATCACTTCAAGTAAGTCTGTCCGTATCCATCTTAGCATCAGCTTGAGATTGATTTAAAATGTAAAGAATTAAGTCCACTTCCTTTGATGCTTTCTCAACTCGCAAATTTCTCAGAATATCTTATAGTCACCTTGTATATTGAGTCACTGGTCTTGGAAAATAGTGGAAATGTGATTTCTTATTAAATTTTATGTGCTTATTAAAAATATAATGTTTAAACTCGTGATATTTTTAAAATGAGACTAACACCTCAAAATAGTCCTTTATTTTGTCTCAAGTCCCAACTATGTGCCACACTTAATGTTTTTAAAATAGTTTTTTCATTGTAGCTAATATTTTGTTTTTCAGTTTTTTAAGTCTTTGTACGACTTTTCTAAATGATTTATATGTTCTTGATCATTAAAGGGAGATACTCAGTAATTAACTAGCACTTGAGCCGTAAATGTTTATTTATTTAGAAACCTAGTTTTGTAAGGTTATCTTAATCAACCTTCTATCTTCATTCTCTCTTCCTCTATCCTATATTCTGCTGCCAGATAGATCTGTATGTAGAACCAGTTCAATAATTTTAAAACCCTTTAATGGCTCTCCACTCACTGTTGGGTGGAATCTATGCTCCTTTGCCTGGCATTCAAAGCCCTCTACCAAGCTCCTAAAAATATCCCCTACTTTGGCCAACCAGACTCTTTCCTATTCTTTGAACTCTTGTTGTTCTTCATGCCTCTGTGTCTTGACTTATACTGTTTTTCTCAGTGTTTTTCTATGATGTCCCCTGCTCCCCCCTTACTGTTTCCTCTGCCTGTTAAAACCTTGTGCAAGCCCTCAAGGCTCAGCCGAGGTGCAGACTCCTCCATGAAGCTCTCCCTGATCACTCCAGCTAGAAGCACTAGCTCTCCCTCTCTCTCCTGACTTCATCTAGTATTTTGTTTTTTTATCACTATTACCATGCAGCTTTATTATTTGTGTTTATGTCTGTCTTATCTTCCATCCTAGGTTGTAAGGACTATAAAATCAAAGATCTTAGCTGACTTATTTTTGTCTCACACAGCATTTAGCATAGCCTTTAATAGTGTTCTGTAAATATTTGTTTAAGAAATTAAGAATGTGCCTGGATTTTTCTCTCATCATTGCCTCTGTCTTTCATCCTTATAGACACATGCGGTCTGTATTCATGGCAACTACTCATTCCTGTTATGCACTCCTGGCAGGCCTCCACATGCCATCTTATCCTAGGAAAATACTGACCATAGTGTAATTGACAAGATACAGTCAGTTCCCAACCTAAGAAATAAACTGTATTCTAAAAGTTCATGTCTAATTCTGTTGTTTGGAATGCAGAAAGCATTTTTCCAAAAACAATGTTATAAATAGTGGTAGGTTCTCAGTGAGCCCTCCCAAGACCATTTAACTCATAAGTACCAGTGCTGCTTTGACTACAGGCAGCCACCATGTATACCACTGTTTTGTAGAGAAATTCTAGCTGTGGATATGGAAGCATATCTCCTATGTCCTAGAAGCAGAACTTTCTGGGCAGCTTGAGCGGTAGGAGGGCCTGAGCTGGGGATCTGGCAGTGGCTCAGCATATTGGATACTCTCACACCAGTAGCTTTTTGATTTTCAATATTTACGTAAGAGACATTTACTTGTAGATTACTGATACTCTCCTGTGTTCTAAATTGAGGGCAAGGGGACACTTGCTATTCTGATCCTCCCCATATGGTAGGTCATTTTTAAGTCAGGTAATGACGGATTAGGAACTTTTACTACTTCCAACTTTCTGCTGTTCTACGAACTTATGAGAATTTAATATGTAAACATGGAAAATACTCCTGTCTGTAGGAAAAACACATTTATAGGTATCAACCATATATTTGACATCACATCAGTTTTTGCAGACAAGTGATTATCAGTTCTATGTGGGCATAATGATGCTTCCCATGAAAAACATGTCAGTGTGTGCATAAACAACGCTGGAGGTTGACAGTTTATGCTGTCACGCTATAAGGAAAACACTTCATAAATTTTAGAGAATTTAATTTGTTCAGTCATCACAAGCTTTGTGCACATTAGTAAATGTCTACTTCATGCTTAATGCTGTCGTAGTTGCCAAGGGCTAAGGAATGAAAACCAAAGATATTATGAAACGTTTGCTTTCCCTCCAGGAGGCTGAAATACAGAGAGTGAAGTATGAAAGAAACACTCACAATGCACACAGTATGTTATTAATTGCCGTAAAATACTTCACGAAGGTAACAAATGCTCTTACGATTATCAGAATGACAATATCATTATGATTCATCACAGTTGTACAGTTAGTGGTGGGATTTCAGGTTGTCCTAGAGGAATGGTGAAGATTCAGATAAAGAGCTAGGAGAGGAAATAATATGCCAGGTTGGATTAACAGCATGAATAGAGGACTAGAGACATAAACAAACAAACACCAAAGCATTACTGGCTGGATTACTTACAAGAACAGAAAGTTTAGCTCATGTTGGGTGAAATAATAGGTGGGAAAATTACAGCAGTGGTTCAACCCTGGCAGTGAATAAGAGTCCTCCATAGATATTTTTAAAAATACAAGTCCCTGGATCTTACCCCAGAACTAATAAACAGAATTTCTGGAGCATGAGACGTAAGCCTGTTTATCTTTTAAAACTCCCCTAGTGGTTGAGAACCACTGAATTAGAAGGATGGGCCAAATTTAAGAGATCCATGAATGCCTTGCTGAGGAGTTGGGCCTCTGTCCATCAAGCAGTGGGAAGCTCTCAGAAGTTTCTGAGATGGGTGACATGATCAAATTGGTATTTGCCGAGATAAATAATTCATCAACTGCATGTGAATAGAAGAGAAATAAGAAACAGCTTGAATTAGAGCAGTGGTGGTGGGAAAATGAGAGGAGTCACATTTTTAAGTGTACCTAGATGTGTGGGAGTTGATGATGTCAGCCTTGACCTCGACATGGTTTGTTTTATAAACTGATTATACAACTTCACCCTCATTAATTTGATCTCTTTTCTCTTATAACCTGGCAGCTTAAACAGTAATTTCAGCCAGTTTGCATTTAATGGAAGGAGACCATTGTCTACTCATGTACACGTCTAACTCATAATAGTAAGTGAAGTTATATGTATGCGGAACAAGACCTTTAACATAATCATTGTAAAGCATTTAATAACTACCCACATATGCAGTAACACAACCCCAGTTCTGCAGAGTTGTGCCAAGAGCCAGAGTCACATATATACGATAGTTATTGGCACACAATTCTTTAGCTTCATACTTCTCTGGTATATTTTGAATATTTTATATTTGGAAACAATGAGCTGTATTTATTAGACAGCAAAGAATAAGTTCAAGGCAGGAAGTTTTGATGTGACCTGCCCTCTTTAAAAAAAGACTCAACATCATGGATTTTTTAAAAAGAACTACTCTCTTGGCTATTCTGTAATAATATATGCATGACAACAATTTCTGCCATGGTCTTCTTTGCCTGTGACAATGAATTTATTGTTCCATTATCAATATCTCCACATCCCCTGAGTTACTTTTCTATAGCTACTTAGGTTTTCACTAATCATCCAAATGATTAACCGGAGAATGGATGGTCTGCTAGATTAGAGGACCCTGTGGGAGAGAGGGAGAAGAGAACTAACGTTTGTTGAGTGCCCAGCCTGTTCCATGTTTTACATGTATTTCATCATTTTAACTCCATTTTATAAATGAGGAAATTAGGATTTAGAGAGGTTTAAAAATTTTATCTGAGGTCAAAAGTCAAGTCAGCATAGAACTTGGTTTTGATCCCAGTTCTGGCTGTCCGACTGTCTAAACAACCTGGTCTTGTAAGTCTAATTTGTTAGGGTAGATCAGTGAACTCAGAATCAGGGGGTTTGGGTACAAGCTTTACCTTTGTCGCTAACAACCTTGAACAAGATATTTAACACTTTCAGCTTCAGTTTCCTCATCTGTCATAAGGGGATAAAAGCCACTTTATTGACCATTTGGGATTATTGTGAGAGTAATGAGCTAGGGAATTTCAGTATGATTTTACAGGTATAAAAACCAATGGAAGATTGAGAGATGTTTAATTCAAGCGAAAAACAAACAAAAAAAACCCCAAAGCATTAAATGAGATGATCTGGACAGATTTTATGGTAGTTTGCTTCTTAACATTGCTCTATCAACTTTCCAAAAATAACGGTCAATTTTGCAAGTCCCGAACACCATGGTGTGCCAAACTGCCTCACTGAATTTAATATCTCAGTGTAGCAGAGAGAATCTTGCCAACATATCAAGTACCTCGTTTTGCTTCCCAGAAGCAATCATCAGTTTCTATACCATATCAAACAGGTCTGAACTCCGGCAGGTGCTGAAGAAATGTCCAAAGCCCATGAGTACTCAGAACATTCTAAGGCTACAAAATAGCAATAGAGACTTATTAGACTAGAGTTGATGTTAACATTCTCAGAACAATTCTTTATATTTTTGAAGTTTTTGAACAAGCCTGAGTAATGAAGTCACATTTTGTAAAACTGCTTTTCAGAAATGTTTCCAGGTTTCTGGACAACTTTTATAGGTTACAGGATGGTGAATACTAAAAGGCAATTATGAGCTCTTATACTCCTCTGTGCTTCTTTCAAGTATACATATTAGAGATAAGAAATTTAGGGAACTCATTCAATTATAAGGATGGTGCTATGAAGTGGCAGTGAGCCTGAGAAGTACCAAGGTCATGTCTTAGGCTTATCCAGAACTTTACCCAGTTCAAGCTCTAAGTCACTTATACACTGGACTGACCAAGACAAATACCTTAGGAATATCAGCTGACAGACTAGAGGAGCACTATTAGACTTCAGATGTGGATCCAGAAGAGTGTGCCTGTTCAGTCTTGGATTCATAAATGTGTGGGACTCTTCTGCATCTGCCACACTCAGTACATCCCAGAGGGTTCTCTAGTCCTAAGGTGCTGACTTCCGCATGGCTCCTAGCGCCGGCGCCGTGCCTGCTCTCTAG